CTACAGCTTGCCCAGGGAGTTAAACAGGCAGATCAGGGTTAGAAGAATATCTGAAATGCCAATAAATCTTTCACGGTAAAATGCTACAAGGTTCTGCTGCTCTTGTGACACTGATGCATGGTTCTCATGAGGTGAAATCTTGTATCCCATTTCCCTGGGTAAATGCTCTACACTGACAGCTAAAACAGTTGCAGCGTCTCACCTGCAGTTTGCGGAGCTGCTTGATGGCTTCTTCACGGTTCTTGTTAGCGGTGTCTATATGGCTTTCCAAATCCTTCAGATCCATCTCTAGCTTCTTCCTGGCAGCCACAGCAATGGAGCGCTGTTTTCGTTCATCTTCCAATTCCACCTCCATCTCCCGCACCTGTATGGAGAAATACAGGCATCATCATTTCAGCTCCTTAATTTCCCAGCAGCTAATTTTCACATCCCCCTTTCAAACTGTACATAAGTGCAAGCATGTGACTTGTTTTCATTCTTCCTGGCAGGGGAATGGGGCTAACATTCCTCACTAATAAAGCTACATGGGTTCCTTTGACAGACAAAGGCTGTTTGAACAATCACGCACACAACGGGGAAAGTCTCTCACAGCTTTGCAGCGCTGCCTGGAGAGTTACCATTAACAAGAATCTGTGGATTGGCAGTGACTGTCTAACCATCTTTGGACACAAGTGCCTTTGTGTACAGAACACTTTCAGGATTTACAGAGCAATTCTTACTTGTCTAATCAGCTGTTTCTTCTTCTCTTCATTCTGTTCATCACGACCCTGGAGGTCCCGGTCAAACTGTGCCTTCATGGCCTGTTGGTTCACTTCTAGCCGCAGTTTGGCATCCTCTGTGGCCTGCAGTTCATCCTCCAGCTCTTCCAGCTGTGTCTTCATCTCCTCCACCTGCTGCTCCAGGGCTCGCTTAGCCTTCTCCAGCTCATGGACCTACAGCACAGTACCACACGTGAGGTTTCCTCAAAGAATGCTCTTAGGATAGGTGAAATTGTCTGCAAAAAAGTCTAAGAAGAGCCACTCACGTAAGACATACTACAAGAACACTGCATCTGCCCCTTGTATTAGGGCAGAGATACCCCTCAAAGCCAGCTGCTCGCATACCTGCAAGCTGCCAGTGTGAATCACGATTGCCTATTAGTTCTGGTCATGTATGTGTGGTGGTGGGGAGAAAGAGAAAAGCATTTGTTAGCCCAGTCCTGACCTACTGCAGACTTATCAGAGCTGAACACCTCAGGTTCTGACAGAATTCAAGAAAAACTTTTTAGCCTCCAAATTTTTTCTTTTCCTTCCTGCTTATCGTAACATTTTTTGTCTTGAAATATTGGGGTTACTGTCTTCCATTGCCTGGCTAATCCCTGTATTTCACATATCAGGCTCACATCATACCTTCATCTCTGCCACAACGATACCAGTTAATTTTCAGTTTTCCACTACCTCATTTGGGTCATTTCCAGGCTCTTCCAACCCATCTTTCTCACTTATTAATGTATTACAAACATGACATTCACAAGTTCACGATATGGCCAGTATTCTCTACTACATTCCTCTGTGTTCATCACACTAGCATAAGCTTTTTGTAGTATTAAACTAACAGTATCACCTGTGTGACATTTACTGCCCAGATATTTTAACTTCATACTTACACTTTTCCCAACATCATCCTTTGAGCTCATCAGGTCTTCCATCTCTGCACGGAACTGCTTATTAATTCGTTCCAGCTCAGCTTTCTGCTCTATGGCTTCTTCCAGGGCTCTGGCCAGGGAGAGTGCCTTAGTCTCCTTCTCACGGGCTTCTGCCTCAGCACGGTCCCGTTCTTCTGCGTACTTGGCAGAGATGTTCTTCTCCTCTGCCAATAGCTACAAGAGCACAGTATCACTATTCTGAGAAATTGCTGACAATTTTCTAACAAGGTAAACATGCATCTTTTTGTTAGTGCCTTCTTAATAGTGTTCTACCATGGAGAGAAGGAACCAAGAAAACACAGCTTCAAAGAATGAAGCATGCCATCCCACCTTTCATAACTGTGCTGACCCCAAATGAACAAACTTCTGATTCCCTAGGCCTCCAATCTATTATTTCCAACTTTCTCTCAAAGATGATCTTCAAACAACATATTGAACTTCATCTTGGTCTTGATATAAATGTTATCCCTTTGGGAAAAGGAGCATCACTAAACTTCTTATGCATGGAACAGAATTAATTTACTTCTATGAAAGCTTATTTCTCCCCTCTATATGCTATGCCTTAGTTCAGAAATAAATATGCATTCTCCAAGCAGCATTGCTTAGATATTCTTAAGGCAGACCTGTCAATAGGATGCATCTACTGAATGCCCAGTGACTGAAGTCATACCTGATCAAACTTCTTCTGCTTCTTCTCCAGGTTGGAAACTGTCTGCCGCTGATGATCCAGGTCCACGGTGAGGTCATCCAGCTCTTGCTGCAGACGGGTCTTTGTTTTTTCCAGCTTGTCATATGCAGCTGTCTTCTCTTCATAACGCTGGCTCAAGCCCTCCCAGTCCTTCTGCAGCTTCTTCCTGGCTTCCTCTGCTGACTCAAGGCAGCCCAGACCATCATCCATCTTCTTCTTTGCATCTATTGCCTGAAGGACAGAAAAGATCGCACATGAAGCCACGCCACAGATAACGCTATAGCGTTTACTGGCACCAGAAGTTGAGGAAATAAGTCTGCTCATCTCTGAAGGTACTACTCCCTCCCTCAAATAATACTATATGACTGAATTCCCAAAGGAATTCCTGGATAGAAATCTACAAGCAGTTTGTATGATTATCATCAGAGACTTCTTCATTTTCTCTCTCACCCAAATCAGCAGGATCACCCTTTCCCAGGAAAGATTCTGTTACTGGAAGTCAATTCTGCATTTAGATTTTACTTCCTTCAAGACAGAGTTGCACTTATGCTTTGTCTCAAAAGTCACTGGTTTATGGGATGCAGACTCTGTACCTGTTGCTGAAGAATAGAGATCTGTTTCTCCAGGTTTCTCTTTGTCTCCTCTTCTTCTTCCAGTTGCTCTTTGAAACTGTTCTTCTCATCCTCCATTTGCTTCAGCTTTGTGCTGAGGCTCAGTTTTAGGCGAGTCTCCTCCTGCAGCAGCTCCTATAAAGCAAACACCCCAGTGGAATTCAGCACCGCTCCTTGGCTTTAAAGGCTCACAATCCTCACCCACTCTCTCCAGAACGAGTACTTCTGAAGTTGAGTTTAAGTATGCAACTTATTTCACAGATAAGACAACCAAAGACAGAATTTAAATAATTGTCTTCCAGTGAGTCAGTATAGAAACAAAATATTCAGAAGGGTCCTATTCTGTCGTACACTCTAATGATTGAAGTATACTACTTCACCACACAAGCCATCCACAGCCCTTTCTGGAGTCCTCCGAGTAGCACACAAAGCACTAAAACCTTTCTCAATGATAGTATGACTGTACTCTGCTACATGACTTTCTCATATTCAAGTATCAAAGAAAGTGACAGCAGGCTAAAGTGCTTTAGCATGGTTAAAACCAACGTTGGTCTTAGCAGAATTGTAAGACGCTGGTCATTTACCAACTTAGGGCACCAAGACTTATTGACTTATGCTGCCAGTGCTTAAGCTGAAGGATCTGTAGAGACTAATAAGCCTGGTCTTCAAACTAGTGCCTAATTTTTGTATTGTGCACTATCTTTGAGTCTTTTTTAAAAAGTGTAATAAGTAAACAGAACATCAATAACTCTTCAAGGTTACTTAGTATCTGAGGTTTGGCACACTCTTCCTTTCCCTTCCAACCTTCTGCTTGGTACTCCGTGCTTTACTAAGAGTCATACTCTATTAACTGTAAATGGTTGTTTTATCCCAAAGTATAAGACTAAGCATGATTTTCTTCCTGAAAGAATACCAAATGATTTGAATCTCTCACTTCCCCAACATCCACTGGGAAATACAATTTTCTGCTTAACTTTACAAATTTACCAGAAGTCACACACACACAAAAACCCTGTCAAATTCTTGACTATGAAGATCTCAAACAAGAACCTAACATTCCAGTGCAGTTCTAGCATTAAAGAGCTCTCAAGCAGAAAGGTGATAGAGGACAACTTCTAAATCTAAGACAGGGAAAGTTACATATGTTCCACATACTGAGGAAGCTGAAGGAAGATAAACAGCTTGTTTCTGTAGAAATGCTCTCAATACCATGCAATATAATCCCTTAGCACAAAAAGCCAGACCCAGTCCTTTGAAGTACTGTATATCTGGTATTTAATGGTGTCCAGAGTGATTTCTCACTTGAAGAATTTGTAATGGACACTGGCTGCACCACGCACAGATGCCTCGGCTTCCAAAGCTCTCACCTGTGTATCCTGAAGCTGTGATTCCAGGGCAGAGAAGTCCTTTGCTAATTTGATTGATTTGCTGTCAGACTGGTTCAAAAGACCTGTGACATTGTCCAACTCGACCTGAAGGAGAGATCAGAATATCAGTTATTAAATGCATCAGCAAAAACAAAGCCAGGAACAGGTGAGCAGCTAGGAGACCCAAAAGTGAAGACTGAGGCACTTCTCAGCAGTAAGGCATGTATATTACCTCTCAGGGAAATGAATGCATCATTTCCAAAGTCCCAGGGATGAAATATGAAAAGTCGAAAAGGGATTTTTACTGTTGTAAGAGCCTTCTGGTTTTGGTTGTTTGGGGTTTTTTTCAGGCCTATATGAGATTTTGGACAGCCTGGCAAGAATTTTAAAAGCTTCTATTAAATTAACTCTCTTCTCTTTCATACTACCTGCTTCAGGACTGCATCTAGAGTCTCAAAATTACATTTTCACACTCCAAAAGATAATGCATACACCGGCAATGCTCAACTTTTAATGACAACCCCCCATAAAGGAGAAGGCAGAAGACAATGCTCTGTGTGAATCAACGGGATTTGTTGTTCCCTTGAAGAAACCAGGAGAAAACCCTAAATTTCCACATCGACCTTGAGCCACCCGTCATCACCATCAATCACATTACAAAGCTTCAAGATGCTGTCTTCCAAATTAGTTACACAATCATCAGTCTCTTTGTGCCACTCTAGGTTCACAAGCAGCTGAATGTTTACAGAACTGTACTGTACAAACTGCTGCATGCTGAAGGGGAGCAGACACACTGATACTTTAAGGCTTACAAAACTCAAATGGCAATTGGTTACTTCACCTTCTCAGGGCTGCTCATGATAAGTGACATCAATCCAAAGGTCCTGCCCTGACAATGAGTTAAGGAGTCTGCACAGTCCTTGAGAAGCAAACTATGGATGTGCTTTTTGTAGGAACTTTATCCGTAGGATGAACAAGATTTTTGAACTAAGTTTTGGGGAGGTACCTACAACCTTTTCTCTCTAGCCCTGGGCTGAATCAGGAAGTCAGGAAAACCCATGCCACTCACCTGCAATTTGTTAACCCTCTCAGCCAGTTCGGTCTTCACTCTTTCACCTTCTGTAAATTTCACCTGCAGTTCTTGGAACTGAGCATCTACTTTTTTCCGCTTGTGCTCAGCATCCCCTTTGCCCTGCAGAAGAACCTTCACCTCATTGGACAGTTCAGCCCTCTCACTTTCCAGAGCTTGTTTTGCTTTTTCAAGATTTGCTTTCACCTGAAGAGGAGGGGGAGGGGGAAAAAAAAGCAAAACCCTTGAGACTTTAGATATGGCAGGATCCTTCCACTGAGTACATTTTTTTTTTTTTCTCCAACAAGCAAGCTAATGTTGCATGTTTAGCAGCTAAGCTGTAGACTGCTTACTCAGAAAAAACAAGCAGGAGACAATTTAACAATCAGAGAAGACAACAATACAGGAGATAGTCCTCCACCACCAGATTTCCAAATTAAAAGTTGTACAAGTCAACAAGTGCTAGCAATGAAAAGAATGTCTTTGCTATGCAGTATAACATGCCTGATGGGAAAAAAGAATGAATGCAATTATTTAAAACCACTTCATATATGCTTCATAGTGAAAAATGATCTGCCAAGGGAAGAGCAGCACATGTATCAGAAGCCTGGTATCATGAACACTTCATGTTCTTCTGCAGCTTTAAGACATGGTCATAGAGCAGCTATCATTTCAGGGAGGCTGACTGCTTTGGCCTTGTGTTTTCTGTTCCACATACCCGTTTGGTTTGTTCTAACTGCTCTGCCAGCTCTTCAATAGCTTGTGAATGTTTCTGCCTCATCTCTTGGATTTGAGCCTCATGAGTCTTCGCCTCATCTTCAAGGGTCTTCTTCAAAACCGTTACTTCTTGTTCTCTCTTTGACCTGCAAAATTCACAAATTCCATTTAGATGGAATTGTTCCATTTAGGAGAGAATCACACAGATGTGTATATCCACCAACAGCATCTCTAATGCAGAAAAAAGGCCAAGGTCTGTTTAGCCCTACAAGCTATAAAGACACTTTTCAAAGTTAGACCTTAGCATTGCACCCTTCTTAAGCGCAAACTGGCAGCATTAGTTTCAGCCTAAGAAGTAATAGCCTGAAAATATGAATGTTTCAGGGGTATCACCAACGCTATGCTTAGGGAGCAAACTAACTTTCTTACATCAGGTGAGGTAATGCAGTCTTGACTACAGCTTGCACACTGCCTCCTTCTGTAGTCACTGAGGCTGCTAACCAGCCTACCCTGATAAAGGCAAAGACTTGCTTTGATAAGAGAATGGCAGCATTTATTAAAAAAGTCAAAACCAAAACCAAATAAGTCACACAGCTATGTGTTGGAGTTACCTGAGCTCTTGCTGAGCAGCTGTAGAATCTAGCGTGTCTTCTAGCTCTGTTTTCAATGCTTCCAGCTCTTCTCCCAGATCCCGCTTCTGTTTTTCAGCTTTATTCCTGAATGCTCTCTCTGACTCCAGGTCTTCCTGCAGCTCAGTGATCTGGGATTCGAGTTCCCTGATCTTTTTCAGGGCCATGTTCTTCTGAGCTGCCTCTTCTTCTACCCTGTGTTCAACATAGGGTTCTGGTCAGAGCCAGATTTAAACCATATGTAAATTAAAACCACCCGTCCTACCAAGAATAATCAAGAAAAAGCTGGTATTGGTCAGCTCTACAATATTCCATTCAGACTTTGATCCATATATCATCTACAAATTCTAAGTTCTATTTCCCAATACTTGAGAGAGCACGATTACTTACCTTAAAGAAGGGGACAGAGAGAGACTGACAACAGAAGAAAGCAGAAGAGAAAGCACCATTTTACATTGGAAATTAGACACTTTACTGAATAGATGAATATAACAACTACCAGAGAGACAATGTGTTGCCACCTCTTTTTAACTCCATCTGAAATCCTACTGCTCCAGCAAAATGTGTGCTGTGCACATTACATTCAGGGTCTAGCTCTGTACAGAGAATGTGGCAGTGAGCAGCAGCCAAAGAACTGATGCCAAGGACATGGATCTTAACAGTCCACAGGCTGAAATACAACAGCCACAGATTCCATTTAGTCCCTATTCCAAAGTGACACAAAGACAAGAAATACTTCCCAACCTGGTGGTCCCTGAACCCCGCAGGTCATGTTCTCACCTAGCTAAGGCTGCCTGCAGCTCCTCTTCCTTCTTGGCCAGCTGCATTTTGAGTTCTGCAATCTGAGCCTGCAGCTCAGCAATCTGGTCATGCAGATCACTGGAGTCCCCTTCAAGCTTTCGACGAGTCTTTTCCAATTCTTGCCTCTGCTTTTCTTCACGTCGCAGACGTTCTGATGGAGATGGGGACACATTAACTTACATGGACGACACATACTCAAAGAACATTGTACGAGCAGAGAAAATAAAGCTATTAAAGCAATAGTTTCTTTCCTAATAATGCAACTGTCCAAACTGTAGCTGGAGTGCATTATTCTGTCAGGACCTATACATGCAACTGCCCCCCTATTTTGCCCTCAGAACATATCTGGGCAATTTCCCTTCCCCTCATCTTACAGCCGAACCTCCTTCTCCCCTTTCACTGTAATAAACAATGCCAGCACAATGCCAGTCTCTCCCAACACCCACACCACACAGCCATAAGCACTCATTAAGTGATGCTGAGCACAAGGTCTGCCCTCCCTTTACTGAAACTAAATAGGCTGGCTCCTGCTGTGTTAACCTGGGCAGTTTCCAGATGAAGTGCCTCTAGCTTGAACTCTGAAGAACTTGTGCAAACAGGATATCAAAAACAGCACTAACCCTGACAGATTGATGCTGCTGGAAGTAGAAAAGTGGAGACACTTCCACAGCAGGAGAAGAAAGAGAACCAGCCCCTCTTCTCCATTGGCCTGCTGCTTTGGAGAGGATTTTTATTTAGATCAAGAGCTCAGCTGACAAAGCACATAACCTTCAGCCAGCCACTGAACAGCTCTATCAAATCGATCAATAGCATACACACTACAGACTAATTTTTAACCCCTCAGAAACTGGAGAGGACTAGAACTCTAGAAATGAAACTGAAGTTCAACAAATTTTAACAAGAAACCACCTAAAACTAAACAGGCAAGTCCTTTGCAGGATCTGCCTTTTAAAAAAAACAAACCACCCAAACAAAAAAAAAAACCCAAAACCACCTTCAAGGTCTGTGATCATGGCCTCATGCTTATTCTTGAGTTTGGCTAAACTCTTAGATTTCTCCTCTTCTTCTGTCAGGTTCGTTGTAAATTCAGACATTCTGTCTTCCAACAGTTTCTTTTCCTGCAGAATTGAGAAGGCAGTGTCAGAGCAGTTGCTAGAATTACAGATTTTTCCAGAGTTGACAGTGCTTAAAGATGTCAATGTCATGAGTGCCTACTCCTGCTACAAGGAAACTTGGAAATCCTTTCAGGATTACAGATAGTATTCGAATAAATGGTTATGTAAAGATTTGTATTTGATCACTTTCAGCTTTGAAAGGGCTAAGTCTGTTTATGAAATAACTTGATACTGTTTGGCATAACAATGTATCAGAAAACATTTGCTCGTGGATCGTTATTTAGTCAAGGCTATTTAAACGTCATACTATACTGACTTGTGAATACAGGCAGGCAGCTAATTTCAAAAATTCAGGTCAGAGTTGTCAAAGACAACTGAATTCATTCATTAGTTTTCCCATAACATGGGAAAGGTCAGCCTTTAGTGGGTGGCTCCAGGAGAAACACCCATGCATCTTTAGCCTGCATAAGAAGCTGCAGGAGTCTTACCTTAGCCAATTTGAGATTATGATCTTCCAGAACTATCACATCTTCTTCCAGTTTCTTCAATTTGGCCTCTGTGGTCACTTTTTCTAGCTGCAGCTTCTGCCTTGCGCTTTCCTCTTCTTCAAGCTGCTCCTCTAGTTCCTTCACAACACCCACAGAAGAGCAAGGCATTTGTCAGTGCTGCTCACTAACCAATGTAACAGCACAGTAGCAATACTAGAACTTGGAAGGTTTCTTTACCCTTCCCTTCAAGGTATTATTAGTACTTTCCAGAAGTGACATCTCTGTCATGACTTAATGCAATATACTGCGTTCTAACAAACAAGTTTTCTAGCAGAATAAACGATGCTATTTTGCAAAGAAGAATGCTACCATTCCTAAAACACCTGGCTTAAGCAAAGACTTGTGTAATTATTTGACAAGTGGCCATCATCTTCATCTTCAAGAATGGAACAGCGCATTCCAGATGACTGACTAAATGCCTCAGGCTCAGCACCAGAATCGCTGTGTTCTATTGCTATTTCCACAGATAGAACAAAAAAAAAAAAATAGTAGAAAAATCTCTTTCTCCCATTGTCTCAGCTTGGAGGGAAAAAGAACCACTTTAACATTTACTATCCTCTTTACTGACAAGAGGCAGCATTCCTAAGGCATTACCTGGATGTTCTGCTGCATTTTCTTCTTTTCAGCCTGCAGATGTTGACACCGTTCTTCCTCTTCCTCCACCCTTGCTTCCAGGTCATGACATATCTCCTCCAGTTCTTGTTTCTTGGCTGTCAGGCGGGCTCTTATCTCCTCAGCTTCAGCACAGAGTTCAGTTTCTGCTTGCAACTGTTCCTGCAGCTGCATCTTCTCTGCCATTAGCTACATTGGATACAAAGCCAGAAATAAGACAAGTTCCAATTTACCAAAGCACTTAGCAATCTGTGTTAAGTGAGGTTATGTGCTCCTGTGTTCCACAGTTACAGTCTTAATCATTGCAGCAGTCTCCTGCTGCTAACCAAAAGCTAAATATCAAAACATAGTTTTTAAGTGTTTGTTCTCCTTCACAAACCATGCGCTGCAACAACATATTATGCTAGCCTTAACAAAATTCTCAAGACCATATCCATTTGAAATAAGGAGATTGTCTAGTTTTCCCCTGCAAAAGTAACACAAGTAATTATCAGCCCTACAGAAGAACGATCTGCTGCCACCTTCTATGTTCCAAACAAAAAGGATTCCATTAATGACGAGGTTGAATTCAACCAGCTTGCTATGACACTCAGCCAAAGGAGACTTTTCTTCACGTAATGGCTATAGAAGGGCAACAGGTAGTCACCGTACAAAATGACCTGCTAGAGAAACTGAGCTGGGAAGAAGGGCAAAGGAAATTGAACAAGGTGGCAGCCCAGCCACATATTTCAACAGGTTGGAATACTGCAGCTTATCCACCAGACCAATAAAGCAAAGGAGGAGCTCTCAAGCAGTTGGCCAGGTAGAATGACTTTTACACATGAGATTTGGAAACTCACCTGGGCCTGGAAGGTCTCCATCTCACTCAGTCTGTTTTCTGCAGCTAGCTGCTTCTCCTTGACCTTTATTAGTTCTTCTTCCTTGGCCATCATTTCCTCTTCCTGTCTGCTTACTTGCAGAAGGGGCTTCACCTGAAAGGGAAACCAAGGGAATGAGACGTGTATAACAAACAAGGAAAACATGAAGAAATGCTCTTGTACTTGATAAGCATTGAATAAAACAACATTTTAGATAAGTGTCATATTTGAAGGACTGACCAATTGCTTAGTTGTGAACACTGGGAGGATCAGAGGACTAGATATCATCTATTCTGCCAATAACACACTTTCTGCCTGCCCAACTTCTCCTCCAGAATGGGATGCATCAGGAAAGGGTTGGGTAAATTCCAGACCCTCAAGGGCTAAGTAGTAATAGCAGGAGAATAAAAAAATTGCCATACAATGGGGAAATTCACGGGTAGGTCAATGTAAACAAAAAACAACACCCATCTCTGTGCTCCCCCATCAAAAACCCTTAGAAGTCATTTCATAGGAAAGAGAAGAAAATTTTAAACTCTGCTTTCATTTAGCTGCAAAGTCTCATGGCTAAGAAGCAAGAAATCCCATACATTTAGAAAAGGGACCATTTCTTCATGTGTTCATTGTCTTTATAAAGGTAAAATATCTACAAGTCTAACAACAAGATCAGACCTCAGTGCTTTTCCTTTGCTCTTACAGCCCCAGAGAAAGAGATGGCAAGCCATCCCCGTATTAACTATTTTTTTCTAGCTAAATTGACTAGCCATGTAGTAAGTGACTCTTTGAAGCGCCATACCACCAAAGCAAGCGTTCTTCTTACTATTCTTAGGCATAAAGCATTAAAAGATGACTTCTGCTTTTCCACAACATTACTTGGATATAGCGTTGCACTTGGTTTATGCAGGTATATTGCATAGCTATAAAATATGCTATGATATTCTCTGCCTAAATGAATCAAGGTGTAGTTGCAAGCCAGCCCAATTGTAGGGGAAGTGGTTTTTGTGCCCTGGTTCAACCTGAGAAGCTGAAATTGCAACCAAATTGTCAAAACTGCAAAGAGAAAAACATTACCTTGGTGAACAACCTCCACCATTGCCAGTTCCGCAGTTTCAAATAGGCAGCACAGTTCCTCTGAAGCACTTTCATGGCTGTCAATTGCTGCTGGCGCTTGGCAAAGGCTCTGCAAGGTAAGTGGAGGTCAGACAAAGGAACCCACAGTGGCACACAATTCTCTCCACCAAGCCCTTTCTTAGATACCTCTACATTTTTACTTTAGAAGGTTCCCTCCTAAAAAAACAGCAACATTTCCTCTATCTTTTCAAGTTTTTTTTTTTTGTGCTCGGGTAAGAATGGTTATCCTTTCCTTTATTCAATTTCCTATTTAATAAAGTTTTTCCCTAATGTCTTCTAATCTGAAAAGCCTCACTATTTTCACTTCAAAAAAGGGAGATCTGAAACAAAGGTGTGTTTTCCTGCCAATCTGACAGATATTACTTTTGTTTTTAGAACTGTACCATTTGCAGTCCTACCTAATAGCTCAAGAGAAATCCTACACCTCCTGGATCAGTACTGTACTAAGACCTTTTCATTTTCACATTTGCAGTTTTCAGCTCTTCTGTCAAAAACTTTGCCTGCTGTATAGTATTCCTATAGAAAGGAATAGACTTTACTGCTGTAGCAGTATGTGAGATAGCAGCACACTGAGTTTCTTGCAGGTGCCAGAAGTCCAGCATTACAGAGATCAGAAAACCCTAAAACAACCATCAACTGTTATATACAACAAATAAATCATGGCCTTTCTGACAAAAAATAATTTCTAGTCTGCTTTTTTTGAAGAGAAACTTCTACCTGAATGGGAGAAATACTCATTTATAATGTACTTCACAAAATATGGTTCTTACTTTCTGGCCAGGTAGCCTCTGCAGCATGCTTGAAAGCCAATAATGACATCTGTGATCTTCAGGTCTCTCTCTTCTTCAAGATGAGCAAGGACTCCAGCTCTGAAAAACACTTTACTCTGTCCAATTCGATAAAGGTTGGAATCCAGCTCCAGTGCTTTGATCTAAAATGAGAGAGAGAAGAATTCATCTCCTGCAAAGACTGCTTCATGTGAAACATCACAAAACATATTTGTGTCTCATGGCTGTAAGATAGCCCTTCCCTACAATGAGCCACTCAGGCCAAACTTGCTAGCTCCCAATAAAGTCCTGTCCCAATTAGAGGAGTTGGAGCTCAGCCAAGCACAGCATGAAATGGACGTAACCACAGACAGAAAGTATGATGGAAAGCATTGTTTAATACAAGACCACATCAAGTACCCAGAACTACAAGGATGCTGTGAGGAACATGTGCCTAGTCCCAAGAGCCCTCTTCCTTTCGTAAAGGAAACACGTCTGTTGATCCTTCCTATTTATTTTTTCCCAGTCCTAATCTTTGTCAGAAAAAGGCACCCCAACCAACTTTCCTGTCCTTTAAAGGATTTGCTGTCAACACTTATACTAGTTAAGAGGAATAAGGTGTACTCCTTTAAGACAGAAAAAAGGGAATCCCTTACAGCCAAATTCAATTCAGTCTCCCCTAGTCTTCAAGCTACAGAGCCAAAGCTTTCCCTTTGAAGCAGGCAATTCTGCAGAAATTAATTGGAGCCTTCACTGAAAGCATTTGTCACCAGCAGGCCATTACAAAAAGTTTGCTGAAGCTCATACTTCAAGATAACATTAATGCTTCTAAGCATTTTGATTCCATGAATACTGCTAGCATCTCAAAGTGTACGCATCTGTGGAAACAGAAAGATCCTCTTAGCCTAGGATTATTGAACTTCATGCTAGTCAAAAGCCTCCATCTGCGAAGCCAAGAGACAGCTTTTTGCATCCTCGTTTTCTCAGACAAAACATTTGACTTTGGAATTTTGGTCTGTGAGTACAAAATATATTTAACACGCGCAACTCCGATTTCCACACCACACCCATAAAGTTTATTCTATTCAAGTAGAGTTTCTGGGATGTCTTACCATCAGCACACAAGCCTGCTTTCCATCCATAAATCCTTTGGGAATTGCATTTGGAGTTAAGATTTCATATCTGAAAAGGAGAAGGCATTAGACTAGTTACACAAGTATATTTGAAAACAACAACAAAAAAATCAGTAATGCATTCCTATGGCATTATGAGTTTCACAGCTTACAGTCTTGTTAGAAGAAAAAAAGTTGCATCTCTAGACAACAGAGTATGAAGCAGCTGTCTTAGATGGGGTCCTCTACGCCTCACCCTAACTACACACTTACTAGAGAAGTCAAAGATGCTTTTGGGAGGCTTTGTGCCAGGGAATACCAAGGGACAGATATTCTGTGTTGCTGCCTTTGAAAACAGTGGCAATCTAGTTGCAATAAAATACTTCAATTTTTGCACTTATGTCTTAACTTTGCCAGGGTAAAGACTGCTTCAGATTCTTTTCTAGGCCTTACCTTTGTCTGAATTCCTGGAATACAACTCTGTTGGGGAAACCTTGACGGCAAATACGGATTCCCTCCAGCACTCCATTACAGCGAAGCTGGTCGAGGACCAAGTGGGGATCTAGTTTTCCAGCCTAGTGAGGAAAAAGCATATTTTATAAATAGCACAAAGCTTTTACAAAAGGGGATTACCCCCTTGCCTCCCCCTCTTTTTTGTAAAGCAGCCAGTTCTCCCTTTTCCAGTTAGAAGCAATTTAAAGCTTTTATGCCACCTTAAGAACTGCAAGTATCAGTCTCCAAAATTGTGGTAAGTATACAGTTATTTAGGATGACCTTAAAAAGATATCCTGAGAAAACAGGACATCTTTAAGATCTCTTGCAAAACCTGACAAAAGACAGTAACCCAGCCACATGCCCCTGGAAGCCCACATAAGAGTGCATGGGCTGTACTGTTATAACTGTCTTTACCTTTTTCTCATGGTTGGGGATAATACAACGGACGAAGTTGGGGTTGGTGTTCCTCAAGGTAGCCATCAGCTTAGCCAGCTGTTCTTTATAGAGCTGTCCCACTGTTCGGAACATACCCTTCCTGGTTTTAAAGGCCCCTGGCAATGCTGTATCTGACATACCAGCTACCTGATCCAGCCCAACAATACGGTCAACTAGAGAGAGCACAAGAAAGTCTGCCACAAACAAAGGAAGCATTGGAATATAGAAAGAACATCTGGGTAGAACAGGATAAATGAGAGGAGCTGCAGGATCCTTTTTGCTTCATCTCTACACAGATGTCGACTCCTGTACAGAATTTGTGCAGGGATAGGAGCAGGAAGGAAAAAAAGCAACAGCTCACTACAGGAAGTTTGAGTGATAGAGTCAAACTTACTCCCAAACATATTCTACTGATGGTCTGGATGGCAGTTCTAGAAGAGCAATCTAGAAATGAGTTTCAGATGCTTCTACTTGCCTAGGTTACAATGAAAAACAATGAACCAAGAGTTCTAGCTGCTAGCCCAGCAGAGTCAACTATTAGTTAACTCTGACCCAGAAGGGGCCACAGTTAGAGAAAAAGCCCAGCTTCACTCTTGCATTACAGGCAGAACTGCCATGACTGGCGATCAGAAAAGCCGTATCTACTTGTAAACTGAGCAAACATGGTAAAAGGTATGATAGAAACCAAACCTCAAGATACCACTGTTTGAGTTGTTTTTGGAGTACAAGTATTCTATGACAGAGACACGAACAATACCACTAGGAGAAAGTCAGAACTCCCTGCCCCAACAGTTTCTCCACTATGCCACAGTAACATCCAAGCACTGATGAAGCTATCACCTTGATGGGTGGACTCCACAGATTTTTATTTTTTTTTTCTTTCCCCCAACAGAAGCCAGCTAGATCTGAGAGTAGCAGAGGCAAGAAGAAACTAAAGCATTACTTTTTCCCATTGCTATTCTACATGGAAATAAAAATTCACCCAACAAAACCAATTGTTTCACAGTAAATTTCCACACACCCAGCGCATTTTTATTAAGGGCTTCAAGCTGCTACTTCACTTTATCTTTAGTGGTTGGCTGATGCCTACACTCAGGCTCCCAGTCTTCACTTCAGAAAATACATCAACTTCTGCTCAACTGGCTTCTGATTAACAAAAAACTGTTAAGAGAAACCCCTACAAAAGAAGAAAGAAGAAAGGATAGTCCGATTTACAGTTAATATTAGTTTAGAACTGCTCACTTCTAGAGCAGCTGTTAGAATAGGGTCAAGGTTGTCTTATCAGAAAGAAAAGAAGGTTATATTACTAGATGGCATCACAGGGAAATCCACAGAAGAGTGTCCCAGATTGTGGCTGGAACAATCCTCTTAATCTTGAGCCCTGCAATCTACATCAAGACAGTAAAAAGGACAGTCACTTGCAACAGAAGATCCAGCTAAGAACAATAAATGAGAACTGATCAGCTGTGGTTCAGTTGACATTTCAAGTCCAAAAGGAGCCTCACACAGAAAAGGCCCTGTTAGGCACAAGTTGCTGACAGCCATTTTTCATGCAGTACAAGTTCCTTTGCCAAACTAACTTTCATTTAAACGATTGGCAGCTGAAGTCAAATCCCAATACTAGAATCAATGTTAAACTGGATTTCAGTTTAAATGCAGTCTCAGAAATCTTCCTTCCAAATCTTGCAAGAAATACAGCCCTGCTAGCTCTACATTCAAACAGTTGACAGGGATTTGCTTTTAGCTGTTCCTATGCAAGTCTTGCAAGAGCAACCTTTAGCACCTGAATATGTCCATATTTTTCTTGTATCCACTTGCAAGGTGAGAGTTTTGCTTTTGTTTTAAAGTCCGTGAGGAGCTACTAGCACAAAGCAGAGGAAATGAACAAGACAGACAAGCAGGTATGACAAAGGGACAAAGAGAAGTTAACGGAAGCATTTCTTGCATGGCTCTAGGATGCATTACACACATGACACGACAGCTGGGTTTCTCAGTCACCTGGTTCTAGATGAAGAATAGGAAAGTGTTGATAGAAATAGGCTCTCTGAACGTTCTGCATCTCTGCAACAGACAGAGACGTCAAAGAAAACCCACCACAGAAAGTGACAGCAACAGTAAGACTCCAAAGCAGATAAACCCAGAGAAGATAGAGTAAAATACTGAACAACACTGCAGCAAGAACACACTAGTTGCAGGACTAAAAATGTAGATTCGACCTCAGATCTTGTATTTGAGCGTTGCAGCTATGCAAGCTGCTGGGACATAATGGTGCATTCATATTTTATCCTGGCATTCTCGGTTTCGAGAAATAATTGCTATATATGCAGCAAGCTTAACGTAAGTTGATGCAAGTGAACCTTTCTCTTGAGTTACAGTGAATTTTTAATGCAATACCACAATCTAAGCAAAGGATGTTCCAGAAAATGCTCATCTTGGTCGCTTAGTCTTCAGGGAAAAAAAAGCAACACAGCTCATCCCAGACTTCTGATGATCAAACAAACTCTTCCACATAAAACAAGAGAAAACAAATGAGATTAACTTTAATTACATACCATCTTTCCACAGCTCAGACACAAACTTATCCGATGACTGGTGGAGAAGAGTAGCAATGTTATCATTCAGCGGATCCATGTTCTTCATCAGCCATTCATCTGCTTTATAATCCACCTGGAGAAGATAAACATGTCAAGAAACTTGGGGGGATTTTCTGCAGCACAAGATGTAACAAGATCCTGCAAAGTCTATAAAAGTAGCACTGAGGTTTGCACAATCAATAACAGATTACCTAGTCATGCTTGCTTAGATGGCAAATCCAAGAATACCTACAAATTTCAAACCCTAGGAAACAGCTGCATGGATTTGCAATGCTAGTTTGCACCACCCAGAGTGTGACACAAAAAACAACTGTATCATCATTTTTGGTGATGAAGTCTTGATGCAAGATTTCTGAAAAGTACCTCCAATCTCACTAAGTCACAGAGAACAAATTTAAATTGGTGTCAGTTTGACATGTCTTCAACTATACATATATAACTTGCAGGCAAAACCCCATAAGCCCTGTGAGGTCCACAGCAATGGAACAACTTTGTGAAGTCTTCCACTGGTTTCCCATAGGCAGACATTTTGTAAAGCAGCCATTTCTAAGAAGCAGTGGTTATGCATTAGAAAATACAGCAGACATTCCAATGTTCACATTTTAGCTACTAATTCTTTACCTTGCCAGCATAATGTATGATACAGAAATCAGCTTTGTCTTTCAGCTGTTTTGGCTTCTGAAATTTGGGGTGGGTGCCTTGTTCTTGTACAACTTTTTCCACAAAGCTTTTGTCTGTTGCTTTTGGGAACCAGCACTCTTCATCCAGCAGGGCCAGTATACCAGGAGGCCCAGCCTTAAAGAAGGAAAACATCAAAGCATCATTAAATACATGACTACACCAATAATTAACACCTTTAGATGGCGG